GATTTGTTCCCTAATTTTACATTGACTGATACCTTGCAGCCTACTCGCTGATTGATTGATTTGTAGGGTTTAACGTTTCAAAACCACCGTATGATTATGATAGACGCCATAGTGGAGGGCTACGGAAGTTTTGACCACCTGGGGTTCTTTAACGTGCACCCAAATGCAGCCTACTCGCTACCTCCATGCTTGGCATAGATAGGATTTCAACGTTCGATCCTGGGTGAACCCGCAACAGAAAGTCATTGCCATTGAAACTTCGTTGGCAGGCATCTATCACAGCCCTGGAGAGTTCCAGTCCCAATATGTTTTTAACCCAGAGACCCTTATGCGGCCTCAGAATAATCTTGATGTCTTCTTTCAGTAGGGGAGGTGGGCCGCGTCGCTTTCTCTGTCTGAAACCCTGCGTGGCTTCACGTTTTTGCTTTTCGGCGGGCGGATAGCTTTCAAATTTCTCGTTCGCTTTCACAGCCTTCTCCATCTGGGATTGCTGCTTTTTTAACAGTTTTTTTTGCCTGCGCGATAAAACGGTATGCCAGGCATCCTCAGTCCTTCCATGGCGTTCCGAACAAGCCGCGTCGCCAGTCTCGTTTCCGAGAGTAGCGTCAACAGACGCTGGTTCGTCATCCTTTGCCTGCCGAGACGAGACGCCACTCGCGTCCGTGTCAGCGTTGAGTGATTCCGGTGCCCGAGAAGGGCCGGGATAAGCTTCGTCAACTTCCATATGGCGAGAAAAGGCGATCAGCCCCGGCCAGGCATGCATGGCAGAACAAAGGAAAAGTGACCGCTGCTCCTGCCAAGTTAGTCGGAGCGCTTATGCTGACAAAGCTTTCCCGCCGGCATTTTGGCGTGTCACAAAACAGGGCAAGAAAGTGAGGTAAACATCGCTCACCTTCGATCTTTGTCCCGTGGCAGCAAAGCAAGTGTCTAAAGTTCACTATTTGCTAGTCCGTGCTCCATCAAACGCACAACACCGTTGTGTTCCGCACGTCGGAGTGCCTTCCGGGACGCGCGACGCCGGCCGTGGTCGTTAAGGTGAGCGTCTCCACAAGGTCATTCAATCTGCCTGCGATGGTTTCTTCTCGTAAAGTTGATCCTGGCCCAAGCTTTGGGTATCCGTGGAATCAGGAGAACTTCACAAAGCAGACTATAAGATTGTTAGATGAGTTTGCGCGAAATTGCTCTTACAAAAGCTTCGAGAAAGCGGAGCGCAGTGGGAACATGTCTTCACAGCTTGGCGCCTCCTGGCGGTCCTCTCGTGATGGAGTGACGCCGGATGCGCTACAACTCACATGCGTTAAAGCAACGCAGGGCTGCGCGGGCCTGCGAGTATATGGCAGGACCAGCGCCTGGTGTTGCAACGCCGGCGTGACGTGACACCACGACGAAATGAACGCCGGCGAGCCCTTGCACCGCATCACGTCGAAATGTATTGGCGCTTCGACTGTGGCCTGTAGTTATGTTATCACATAGCACGCATCTCTTAATTATGAAGTTTGCACCAGCACCTTTGTCTTCAATCGGTATCACGTAATACCAAATTTGGCATATATGAAGCTAGCGGAACGGCCACGAGTGCATCATCAGTGTAGCATGTAGCAATATTGTTACATGACACGCATGTCGTGATTATCATGTTTGAATGTGTTATTTATCTGTGTCGTCCGTTCGCGTTGTGTAATACCCAGTTTGGAACATGTGAAGCTAGCGAAACTGCCGCGAGTGCATCAAGAGCGCAGCATGTAGGGATGTTGTTACCTGACACGAATCGCATGTTTATCATGTCTGCACCAGTATCATACCTGTCGTCACCATTCACGCAATGTAAAACCAAATTTGGTATAAGTGAAGCTAGCGAAACGGCCACCAGCGCATCATGAGCGTGACATGTAGTCATGTTGTTACATGACACGCATGTCATGATTTTTATGTTAGGCTCTGTCGCTTGTGTTCGCCCTGCAATCATGCCTTACCATACCAGTTTTGCAACATGCCATTTGAACGAAACCACCGCAAGAGCTGCAGGACCATATGTAGATCATGACATTCATGACATACATGACATGTGTTTCATGTTATGACTAGTTATATATGTTTTCAACACAGTCATGTTATGCCAGATCAAGTTTGGTATCGATACCATTATCGAAACGGCCAGGAGAGCTAAAAGTCGTAGGCAGCTAGATAGATAGATAGATAGATAGATAGACAGATAGTTAGATAGATAGATAGATAGATAGATAGATAGATAGATAGATAGATAGATAGATAGATAGATAGATAGATAGATAGATAGATAGATAGATAGATAGATAGATAGATAGATACGGTCAAAGTCACCGAAACGTTCTAAAAATTGCTTCGCATTTAAAATTTCGTGTCCTCTTTGAAGCGGCAGTATGTACATATCATTCGCACGGCATGTCAGCGTCCTTCCTTTCACAATTTCGAATCTCACAGGAAAAAACTCAAAGGAACGCACAAAACACGAATAGCTGAACCACGAAGAGACGCACATTACTAATAACGTGGCGGGGAACGCTGGTTCTGCGAGCGCCTGACAAACGCGCAATTTTGCGGCGTACCCAAATCACTTGCAAATTGATGACTGCATCCCACCTGCTGACGTGATGCGAGTGGAAAGGATTCATTACTCAGTCTTCTTACATTTACCGTAGGTGTTTTATACGCGCGGCGACCAGACTTACTTTGTGAGGCATACTATGGAGTCTGGAGATATAATCCATGCCTGTTTTACCTGTTTTATTATGTTTATTTGCGCCACATTCGGCGAACGTTTGAATTCACATAAAAGAACTTGATTGTTCATTTATTAGATAGAGCTACCACTAAGAAACGCCTTTGAGCTTTATGATTCATTGAAAATATTTTGTTTGAAGCACTAAGTGGTCAAATTAGTGAGTACAAGTAGATACAAGACAAAATATGCATCTACTATATGTGCAATACTCCTTAGCAGTTATCGTCTAAAAGAAAGAAAAAGCAAGTTTCTACGAAACTGTCGAGGAGAAAAATTAGCTTTAAGCAATGCTGTGTTGTAGGATTCATTTTAAAGATAAAAAAAATTTATTCATAGAATCATATAAAGGGGCCTGCTGGTTTAATATATAGAAGTTCAGAGTGTCAGCTTGTATAGTTTTTTCCCTTCATCGGTAATGCGTGACCAAGAGCAGTCGTGAACTGCCCCATTGACACAATACTATTTCATCATGTTTTCGTCAGAGCAGTAAGCGAATTTGCATGGAAAATAAGTCTAATGTAGTCTACATAGCCATTAGATATTATGGCTCTGCTATGTAAAAATAAAAGATATTCCTACACAAACCTTCGTTATTTTGACCATTTTCATCGGAACGTAAGTAAAATACTAATAAATTTATTTCCAATATATCTTCATAGAAATATCGAAGGCTACTTCGTCTGAAGGCACAGTGAAGTTCATTTTGTTAAATTGAATACTCTCGCCGTTGTCGCAGTAAAACAGAGGCTTGTAAAGCAAAGATACTTTTGTTGCTCACACTATATTCATTGCTACTAGGTAACGCTTCCGACCGGGCATTGACCGGTTAGCATATTGGGAAGTCGTTCCCAATGACCGCTGCCCGAACTGCGACAAAGGAGAGACGGCCCACCATGCTCTGTTTTAGTGCTTGGTGCGAGGGGCGTCTGGCACATGGAGCAACGCTTCTTTGGCTTTCGCACGGCGCGCATGGGAACAGATCGTGGGCTGTTTGCAAGACTGGTCTTTACAGTGACCTTGTGCGTACTGTGGTGGCGACGCTGTTTAGCGGTAGTACGGCACAAGCCTCATAGAGGCGCCTATCCCACAATCTAGAAAATATGGCTCATTGTGTGGAATTAGTAACCTAGATCAGCAGCAGTAAACGCACGGCGAACAGGCTTTACTTCGACGATGGCATACACATTTCTTCAAAGTGGGAGAGGGACAGCTGAAGTTTCCAGTTGTTCCGTACTAGCCATGCGCCCACTCTAGTACGCAAGCGAAGCCTTATCCTGTAAAATGGGATTAACTAAATTAATTTTATTTTCCTTTGACATGTAACATTTGGATACCCAGTGATCAATTATATTTTGGGGCTCATTTGTAAGATGTATACACTGTCTCTACTTGTTTTCGATGTCTCGTTGGTGTATTTACAAGCTAAGTGTACAACAAACTTCCATTTTTTAACAGTAGATGTCATTGAAAAGAAGGGATAATAAGCTTTCTGAAGTTGTCCAATTCAGTTTTCTTCGTGAGGCGCAGCGAGCCCAGTGTATCTGCAAACATTGCGTAAAAGGCGGAGTGGTTGCAGCCGGAGTGGGACCACCACCTTGAAGAGCTCGTTTGACAGAAATTTTGGTGTCGTTGATTGTGAGGCAAAAATCATCAGGTTGTGCGTGACAGAAAAGTTGGGAATTATGCAAATAAAATATTTAATATAAAATTCCAGGTCTGAATATGAATCGAGCCTGGTTCATTTGCGGACAAGCGGGTGTTCTACGACAAAACCAGGCTTGTCAATAAAGCGAGAATAACTTTCTCTGCGTGGAAATGCAGTGAAAGTAACTTCCATGCTTTACTAAGCCACGCGTCACGTATACACGATTCACAGTAGAACATGGCATATTGCAGTTATAATGCTCGATGGAAGCGTAAATTGCCCGATCATAATGACTTCATGGTTTAAAGCAGATCATTCACTACAAAATTCACAGACGTTATGCGTTTATTCTCCTAAGGCCACCTAGTTGGTGCATAGAAAGACAGAAAATATTTTGTGCTATAAGTGTTTGAAGTACGCACAATAGAAACGATATCGCTATCGCGTTCAACGCTTAAAGGCGAAGCTTAAAGTTCCCCAGTTTTTTTTGAGGGGGGAGGGGGGGGTCTGCTTACTTGTTCTTCTGTTGCTTGGTTGTTGAGGTTAATTTTTATTACAACTGAAGCATGCCTTGTTGCTATTTGTGTCTCGCAGCCATCGGTGCCGGTATGGTGTTCGTCGTCTCACCGACCATAATAAGTGAGCACTTCGTCAAGCACAAAGGCCTCGCAATGGGCATCAACTTCACCGGGGTCACGATGGGCACGTTTGTCTTTCCCAAGCTTCTGGAGTACCTCACCAAGACGTACGGCTTGCGCGGTGCATTGCTTATCTTCGGTGCCATTGTGATGAACGGACTCGCATTCAGCCTGTTCCCGCGAACACCGAAGTGGCGAAGCGCACCTGCCGGTGCGCCGGCTTCGCAGGCCGCTTCAAAAGGCGACAGCAAGCAGGGGACGTTGCGGCACGGGCTCACCGTGTTCAAGCATCCAATCTTTTATCTCGTCATGTACAGCTTCATTGTTCACAGCTTCGGGTTCGAGTGCTACATATCGTTGTTCGTGGACTTCGCCGTGGATCGAGGCGTGGCCGTTTCCAGCGCGGTTACCATGGTGTCGATGGGAGCCATAGCCGAAGCCCTCGGCAGGCTCACACTGCCGGCAGCCGTCGACCGTGGCTGGCTGACCAACAAGCAGCTGATCGTGCTCATATTCGCCGTCCAGGGTGCTATGTTCATACTGCTTCCATTCCTCTACGTCCACGGGCTCCTCTTCGCCGTGGCTGCCATCATCGCCTACACAATAGGCACTGGCCTAGTGCTGTTTCCTGTCATCCTCGCTATTTATCTTGGCCTGGAAAGAATGTCCATGGCATACGGGATGGTCATCGCATCGGCTGGCCTGCTGTCATTCATAAAGCCCTCGGTTATAGGTAAGAAATATTGATAAGGTGCGCAAAATAACTAATAATTGTTGCTATGGGATGTGCCCTTAAGTGTGGCTTTAAAGTGCCATGCTCGTGGGAAGCCTCAGCGATGCAATGCAAAGCGATGTAAAGCTATGCGAGGATGGGTGGGGTTTAGCGCTGAAGAAACCTTCTATCCGCTTGTGCACCTGAATGTCTCCAACTTCCGACTCGCCTCCCTCCCCCAGTCGCCTCTTGTATGCTGCCAATGGCGCGCATGCTTGGGTACGACTCTGTAAATGACGTAACTGATAGGATAGCCAATGGAGATTGCTCGAGACACCACTCCCATACAGTTTTTATTTTCCCTAGCCATATACAGATGCTTGCCTCTTACTATCAGTCACTTCCTTCATCCTCCCCCTCACTGTCCTATCCCACCTCCTAGCGTTACTATACATGGCTAGGCTGTGCTTTTCCCACTACCTTCCTCATCGCGCTCACATCACTCCTTTTTCTTACCCTCTAATATAATAGCTTTTACATACTTGAGCAAGTAGGTCAAAAAAGAAATACATACCCATTAAACAGGAAAACGTACTCATGTATGCAATCTTGAAATCTTGCTGAAATACCGCATCTTGCAAGCCTGTACACGGTTTGTGCTTTTATCTCTATCCTCTTCATGCCCCGCCGCGGTGGCCTAGTGGCTAAGTTACTAGGCTGCTGACCTGCAGGTCACGGGATTGAATTTCGGCTGCGGCGGCATCATTTCCGATGGAGGCGGAAACGTTGTAGGCCCGTGTGCTCAGATTTGGGTGCACGTTGAAAAACCCCAGGTGGTCGAAATTTCTGGAGCCCTCCACTACAGCGTCTTTCATAATCATATGTAAGTTTTGGGACGTTATACCACAAATATAAAATTATCATCAATCTATCCTGTTCGTTACCCATTCTTGATATGCTGTGCATAACAGACTCATTTGGGCTGGACTTTAGAACTCCGCTGTGCAATGAGTACATCCCCAAGGATAAGACTGTTTTTAAGCGTAGAGAGCATTCTGTACCGATCATGCAGATGAGGGCTTTAAGTGCACCTAGCTTCTTTCAAAAGCCATAACTTGCTGCACTCAGTGACCACATCTCGACGACAGGTCGGAAAGAGCACTATCGCACTGTAGCAGTAACGGACTCAGTAAGTGCCAGTACAAGAATCATATATTCCAGATAACGTTGCTATACTTTTGCTGCATGTCTTTGCGCACGCATACGTTGGTGCTGAGTCTCTACTTTAAATGCGGTGATATGTCAGAAAAGACGACGGTTTGCCCGGCAGTTGGAAACCATGGCAAAAAAGTCGAAAAACAGAACTGTAGCGTTGACAAAAGCAAGTATATTGCGGGAAAGGAGAAGCTTCAGAAATGTAGTAGTCAGAACGTCAGACGTTTACACCAAAACCTCAGACGGAAAGTGAGATAATAAAGACTTTATATTGTGAACAGATTACGTCTGCACGGGGGGGCAGGGAGGGGGTTGATAAGCTGAGCTGGGCTACGGCTATTCATTGCTTCTAACCCAAGAGCCCTGTCTGGCTCACGACGGCACACTGGGTTCTTGACCGCCGAGGTTGCTGAGGAATGGTGACGTCATTCCACCGGTGAGTGTGCTCTCACTCTGGTGAAAATCTGGACGATGCGCTCGGCACGCGTCCTACATATGCGGGCAATTTCACATGGTCTCGAACTCACCGCCTACTAGAATACGTCCACATGGCGTTTGCGTAAATGCTTGGGGCTCAGTGGAGTGACTAGAGTTTTGAAGATAACGACCTCTTTCCAATATGAGTTGTTGAGCGACGGCTGTCCGAGATCACTGAAATCTGACCAAAATACTTTTACAACCTTTAACTTGGAGCGTAAGAACAAGAAACAGGGAATTTGTAAACTCAATATGCCGGCTAAAAAACCTTATCACTTATCAATAACTAACAGTAGCGATGGTGTATTATTGTGTGAAGCTTGTCAGCAGCAATCTATAGTGAAAAACGTGAATTGGAAACTTCAATAAAGCTTTATATATGTAGCTATTCTTTACGATACTAAGTTGACTAGATGATATCAGCACTGAAGTGCATGAATAAAGACCATACAGAGACGAGTTTCTAGTATATCCGTAAAGAAAAGGTAACGCATAACAGGGTGGCACCAAGATTAGGCGCACAACAATGCAAAAAAAAGTTGAATGGTATGAATAAATTATAATAAAGAGTCATGACGCCATGTAAACTGCGCATGTTCTTCTGGAAGGCCACTGCCCGCTACGCAGAGTGCACACGAAAGCCCAGGAAAGAACTAATGTAAACATTGACCGTTGAACCGTTCAGTTAACGCTCGCAAAGCCAAAGTCACCCAAGGAAACAAATACCCAAATCACTATCAGTTAGTTGAAAGGTGCACAGTGTAAAAACCTAACGTCTCATCGCTTAGATTTAGTGCCGTGGAATCGGTCCCACCTGTCGCCATCTTGTTCCACGGGCAGCGCGTTAAATTGTTTCTCAGCATTTCTGTTGTTTCGGTCGTAGGGGCGTGGCCTACGTTGTATATCTCTAATTCATTGACATTTAGGTGGATTTTCTCTATGCAGTTTCTGATTCGTTTCGTGCGCTCTTTCTTTGTTATTTGTTTTTCATTCGTTTTGTGATAGACAACCTTTAAATTCGCCTCATAAAACGGCCTAACCTTAGCGGTCTTCTCAATAATTACGTCCATCAATATGGCACTGATATGGGAACAACCTTCGAAATATCAAAGTTATCGCTCACTCTTCTGGGACTTGTAGGTATTCATTGACGGAAAAATATTTGTGTCTAGAACATGTTGTAGCTAATGACAGGCAAGCATTTACAGAATGAGAAGACACTGTCACCATTGTTTGCCTCATTGAAAAATTTTAAAAATATATTCAAATTGATACCAATTTCACTGTTGAATAAAAATAACGAAGTGCAGCGGGTGAGAACATTAGGCCTCCACCCTAAACCAACATTCCGTTTGGAGTCACAAGCCAACACTTCAATAGCAAAGTCACTTCAGTCACTAGACAAGACCTCTTCCGTCACCAGCTAACGTCACGGAATTATTGAGTGAAACATATTGATGCACATGAAAAAAAGGGAACATGATGTCCGTTCATAGTAGAGTGCAGCAATGAAGCAAACGACCGCAATACAGAGATACAAAACTTGCACATATGTCTACTGTGCGTGCTTTTATACGTTGCTCTCGGTTTCCGAGTTGTTGCCATTCAATACGTTCGACAAACACACCCAAAGGCACGATGTCTTTTTGTACGTAACCTTTTGTTGACACTGTCTCTGAAACGTTTTTTCTAGGACACTTCCGAGACCACGTCGGAGCCTACGATGCCCTCTTCGTCATCTGCGGATCACTCATCGCGTTTGCAGCTATAATGTGGGTTCTTGTGTTCACGTGGGAGGCAAGAGCGAGGAAAAGAGAAATTGCTGGCAAACGCAGTTCTGCGGGAGATGCCGAGGCCGCCACAAAAATGTAGCAATTAGAAGACGACCCTAGTTAATTGGGGGTCGTCTACTCCAGCACCACGTTTCATTGTAGTTGGACAATGACAGACGCGGGCTACTCAATGCAAGAATCGGCTAGCTCAAGAGATAAAAGCTTACCCCCTGTTTCTGTGCATGTTTAGCAAGAGAAAAAGTGTTACCATAGCTTTCCTCAATTTACACGAGAGAAAGGTAGCATCGAGAGGACATCTCTTACGCATACATTTTAACATCGTATGTCATCGTCATCTTCATCACATTACACAAGACAACAAGGAGAGATATACTCCTTCAGGATTGTTTGAAGTACAAACTATCGCAACCATTGCGCTCTGACGCGCACATAGCGCTATCGTATTTACTTTTGTTTTTTCGCTCTTCTTTTCCTGTCCTCCTACTGCTGGGGTTCTTATGAAATGAAGTGCACTTCTGTATTCTATCCCCTTCCCTTATACAGAGTAGCATGTCAGCTTCTTTGTGTACGCTTGCAGAATGTCTGTTTTGCATTGAAAAGCTTTTTCTCTATATCTCTTTCCAAGCTTTTACAGATTTTATCACAGAGTTCATCGAGGGGTGGCACTCGTACGCAATTTTAACGCTTATCTTTTGTATATAGACTATTCTCTTTTTTAACGAACACACCATGTTTTTTTATACATGACTGTTTTTTTTGTGCCTTGGCAAAAAAAAAGGGGGGGGATTCGATATATCAATCTAGAAGACTGTCCAGCTTTTGGGAATGACTACTTACGTACTAGTTCTCTGCGTTTGTGCTGACTTGACTTTTTCCTGGTGTCCATGTTTGCGAGCCCAGTATTTCATATAGCTGTGAGCCCTCGACCTTGGAGCATCGACCTGGACGTTTGCATACGTATGGCAGAAGCGTATCCTGTGGGCTATGTTCAGAAACGCCGGTTGAATAAAGTTACTGCACCAAGACTTGCAACAAGCAGCTTCATGACTCCGGTTAAATATGACAGAAGAAGTCTTCACTACCATACGGCTGCGTAAGCTGCACCGCAGCTCTGACAGCTCAGAAGGTAGGTATAAAAGGATTCTATCGACTTACCGTTGACTGTGTACATCTTTCTTTTTGCTATGGCTTTTGCTCGACACCGTCGCGAGATCAATGCTGTCCCCATTTGTTTATATACATTTATAATCAATCAGTTCGCAGCGACCAACTCGACGATTACTTTTCTCAGGTCATCGCTAGATCAGATAGTTCAACAATTTTACTCGATTTCTTTAGCTAGTCCTTCATATCAAGCTTTGTATAATTAAATACATACACATTGTAATTTAACATAGCGAGGAATATAATGGCAAAACACCGCGAAATACGAGAATACGCACTTCTTTCACGAAAGAGTACCTCACCCCAACGTACGCATGTACGTTTACGGGTCAAGCATTTCAAGGTCTCGGCTTCTCGGAGCGCCATGTGATCACCACTGTTCGTCATGAACCGTTTAGGAACTGCAAATATTAGGTAGATATCTATTCGCCACCGGCCCATACTATACACACTATGAGTTAAAGGTTCGTCGTCACGAACTAAAGCATTATATTTGTCTTAGCAGTGGTGTTTGTACTCCTGCAAAAATTTCCAAGGTGCTCAAGTTCTCTGTGTAAAACGGGAAACACAAACGTGCATCTATAGGTAGTAAATTAATATATCTGAAGCACAGTTTCTAGAAATTGATCTGCATTGCAATGGTGCGTTAGTGTACCAGTGGCGAATAAGGCGGTAAAAATGACATCATCTCCTACTAAAAGGTACCATGAGTAGTATGCGAAGTAGTGGGTCGTCCTACAGTTTCGCTCATCGCGGGCAACGCGTCCTTGCAAGTGGAGCACACCATGCATTCACTGTAGTTTCTGTTGCTGTGACTCGTCTGAACTCTTGTTGCAGCATGCCACGCAGGTTCATCACGCGTATGCAAAATATCTTTCCCCGACGTCACCACGTGATCACTGGGAGAGTGTAAAAAGGAGAGACCACCGTGTTTTGCCCAGCCACTTACACAAGCCCAAGCGCTCTAGCGCGGGACCGCGTTCTGGCAGTGCTTGGGCCAGCTGTTGCGCGTGCGCAGGAAAGAATGTGCTGCACATCAACCGATTGAATTATGCCATAAGCTACTTCCCCAGTTCCTCCCCAGTTTAAACGTTATGTTAAAATAACTTTTCTTTATGCATGCCCCTTTTATCAGCCGTTTGCTTTATTAGTGCCTTGATCACTGCCGTGGCACCAGAAAAAGCAACGAGATGAAAGCATCTGGTGTTAGGGGCAAAGCTCCTTGCGATGTGCCTCAGTGCGTCCTCCGTAGTAGCCACACGTTAGTTCTCACAATGTTGACTATGTGGCGCGGCACTGTTGCAATACGCGAAGTCATCACGCGTTTTCCGACGAGATAGGCCGTCAAGGGGGGGGGGAGGCGTCGCTGTCTTGGTCAAAGGAAACATTGATGCCCATATCCTCAGTCAAATCGACAATCATGAAAGCATTGCAATAAAACTATCTTGTTTCGGCAGATCATTTTTGCTATTCGCGGTTTTTCGCCCTCCTGACTCACCACCTCAGTTCTTAAGCGATCTCAGCAACCACATGTTAACGCTCAAACAAGAAAATATATCTTTTGTGGGCGATTTCAATCTACCGGAAATTGATTGGAACTGTCCTTCCCCATCCCCTGTTCATTGCACAAGCTCCTCACATTTGCTTGATATAATGCTAACCCACAATTTGCACCAAGTAGTAAAACAACCTACACGTATTCAGGGTGCTTCTGCGTCTATTCTTGATCTTGTGTTCGTCAGTCAATCAATTGAAAATTTTAGAGTGTCTGTGGAACGTGGCCTATCAGGCCACGATATGGTTGTGTTTTCTTTTCCTGTGAACGCTAAGTATGAAACGCCTCGTGCGAAAAAAACTGTCGTAGAAGATTTCTCGTGTGCCAGGGATGAAAGTGTGCTTGACTATTTCGAAATTTGTCTGAGAAATTTTAATGGCTTTGATACTGCTGACTTATGGACGAGGTTTAAGGAAATAAGTACTTATTGCCTCAATAACTTCATACCAAACAAAGTTACGAAAACTCGTAAAAACAATCCCTGGATCACGCGCGATGTTTTGCACGCGAAAAGAAAAGTCAAGCGTTTGAAGCGTAAAGCTGCCTGTCCGAGTATTATCGGTGTTGCGCAGTCTAACCTCAAAGATGCCGTGGTGTGCGCAAGGCGACGTTATTTTGAACAGACCCTGCCAGACTTTATTCGCTCCGCTCCGCATAAATTTTGGACTTTCCTGCGCAAAAAGAAAAAAAACAATTCAACCAATTCTACATGAGGGTATCGCCATCACTGATAAGCATAGCATTGCTGAAAACTTCAATAGGTATTTTCATAGCATTTTTCTTAAATCTGATGATGCAATTCATTGCTCCGTATTATCTTCCGCAAGCGAAGCTGATATTGTCTCACAGCCTGGCGTATTTTCCATGTTGTTGAACCTCAAAACGAAAGCGTCAACCGGTCCTGATGGCATTCCGAATATTTTTTTGCGCCGCTATGCTGAAGTCATATCCCAATTTTTAGTAATCATTTTTCGAGCATCTCTTTTGTCTGGTGTTGTACCTGAGGATTGGAAATTAGCCCGCATAGTTCCAGTATTTAAAAAAGGCAACGAGACGCTGTTTACTAATTACCGTCCAATCTCTCTGACTTCTTCTTGTTGTAAACTTCTAGAACACATTATAGCCGACTACATTATAAATTTTTTAAACAGAAACAACTTATTATCTGACTGTCAACACGGCTTCAGAAAAGGATTTTCCACGGTCACGCAACTCACTTCTATTGTTCATGACTTTGCTAGCGTTCTTGATAAAACTGGTCAAGTTGATGTTATTTTTCTAGACTTCCAAAAAGCCTTTGATTTAGTTTCCCATGTTCATTTAATGCACAAGTTAAAAGTGATAGGTCTTCCAGCTTTTGTAACCAATTGGATCTCTTCCTATTTGTCGAACCGCTTCCAATATGTTTGCATCGATGATCATTCCTCTACTCGGCTTCCTGTTCTTTCGGGTGTTCCACAAGGCAGCGTATTAGGCCCGTTATTATTTCTAATTGATATCAACGATGTTGTATCCCTTATTAGTGATCCCGTGAAAATTAAAATATTTGCCGATGACTGCATTCTATACAACAGAATAACATGCCCTGAAGACCAACAAATGCTAAACACAAACCTTAATTATGTTCAGGCGTGGTGCGAAAAATGGGGTATGAAGCTCAATGCCAAAAAAATCCGTTTTTATAAACATAACTAACAAAAAGAATAAGCTGTCCTTTCCTTACAATCTTCCGTCACAACCGTTGGAACAAGTATCAGAATATAAATATCTTGGCGTCACTATAACAAATAACTTGAGCTGGAACAAACACGTAACAAACACATGTGCAGCTTCATTCCGAAAACTTTGCTTCCTTAGACGTAAGCTTCGAAAGGCCCCAACAAACGTTAAGCTACTCGCCTATACATCCATAATTAGACCGCGACTGGAATACACCTGCACTGTCTGGGATCCTCACACAAAAAGTAATATTATTGCTCTTGAAATGATACAGCGTAAATCCGTTCGATTCATTTTTTCAATCTATCGTCCCAGTGACTCGCCGACAAGATTAATGGAAGAGCATGGCATTCCAACACTTCAATCACGCCGTCAAATTCAAAGGTTCAAATTTCTACTCTTGTTTAAAAACAACAAACTTTCACTTAAACCCGAGGAATTCCTTCAGCCACTCACTTCCCGACAAACACGGCATAGACACCTCGAATCTCTGACTCCGTACAGCGCTCGAACTAATATTTTTAAGTTTTCCTTTTTTCCCCGTACTATTACAGACTGGAATAAACTAACTGAATCGGCTGTGACCAGTATTCACTCTTTTGAACATTTGGAATTCTGATTGCTTTGTTTTGCAACTTCGATGTACTTTTGTGTATGTGTACAGTATATTTCCAACAGTGTACCACGTGTATTGCGGATTTTTGTAACTTTGATGCATTCCTGTATTTGTTCAAACTATTTTAATCAGTGTATCATGTGTATTGCGCCTAAATTTTGTTTTTCTCGTGATGCCCCTCCTGCTTGGGCCCTTCAATGGGCTTGCAGTATGTCTTAAATAAAATGACTAGATGGCGTAGATTCACGTCGATCGTGGGTTAGTTTGATAGGAGTTTGACAGGATGGCAGACAGACACAGAGACAGAAATACAGATGGATGGACGGATGGACACGCACACAGACAGAGAGATTGGCAGGCGGACGAATGGAGAGACAGAGAGACGAACAGACAGACAGACACGCCAACGGACGGCTGAGCCCACGAAGCTTCGCCCCACACATCATCATTCACTATTTGTATATAATGTGAATCTTTTGTATGGGTTTCTCCGCAGACCACAACATCGTTCTTAAACAAATTATGCGGCTGCAAGGTATTCAATGGCATGACGTAACGTCACTAGTCACGTTAGGCCAAAGATATCACATTTATCGAAACGAAGTGCATAATACTTTGTATTGATGTTCTTATAATAGCAAGCTGTTTCTGTCGTATTTTTTTGGGTGGGTTAATGATTAAGCTATACTAGTCATGCAATGCTACCTATATTTTTGCAAAAACCGACAGCGAGCCCTGCGACTACAGTTAGCGTTGCCACGATATGACACCATTACATGTTATTTTTCATGAGCACTGTGAAGCACTGACGTAGCTTTGTAAGAGAATATTTCACTACCGTGCTGAATGCCACAGTTTCGGGCTGGGTCTCATTGCAATTTTTTATCTTTCTGTTCTACTGAATTTTTCCTGCTCCGAAAAGGCTGCCGACTCCTGCCCCGCCTGCATAACCTGATCGCGTAAAGAGTTCGGAAAAAGTTA